TCCCACACGGTGTCGAATGGTTTCACAGGCCCCCATGTCACGTTCATGAAGTGTCTGCGTTTTTAATGTCTGCTGCATAAATCAATTGTTTCATGTGGTCCACAGATAAAAATTCAAGGGATTGAGGCTGGGGAACTTGCAGGCCATGGAACCGGTCCTCCCTTTCTTATCCATCTTTCATAGTAGATGTCAGCCAGTGCATCACTAACAATATGATTAAAATGTGCTTCACCCTTATCATGCTTGAACCACATGTGTCTTCGTATTAGCAGGAGTATATCCTCTAGCGGGCGTGGAAGTGTGTTCGAAATAAAGTCCCTGTAGGCCACTTCTGTAAGACGTGCTGGGAGAAAATATGGACCTACAGACTGTCACCTACAATTCCAGTCCACACATTAATCGTGAACTAATGCTAATGTCTAGCGTGTATTGCACCATGGGGGTTCCGATACGCCCATAAATTTTGGTTGTGTAAATTTTCTTATTCCATCTCTCCCAAATATTGCCTGGAAAGAAAACAACTAATCGGTAGTTTGTACAATAAACCATCGGCAAAAGTTCCCCGTGGTCAGTGATCAGAGGGCGAAATACCCTTCACACATTGCAAATGTTACGGATACAGGAGCTGTTCTTGAAGTAGCCTCCATGCGGTACTATGAGATGTACGATATTATATATTGACATATACGGATACCAGGATCGTCCCCGACAGCCTGTATAATATGCTCTTCATGGTCAAGCGTACGAAAGGATCTGGGTCTTCCTAGAACCATAGTTTGTGATGTCACGGATCCTATCTCAGGAACGCGACGATAATCAGAACTAAAGGTTGGTTGACTTGGCTACCTTCAGTCTTGAAACGCAATTTGATACTGCCGTGCAGCCTCGCGTCCATTACGTATGTAAAAATCATATCTTCCTAGTCGCAATATGTATATCATGCCAGTGTTCAACAGAACACTTAATTCACTACAACACGCGTTAAATGTTGAAGACAGACTAGCCACAAATGTACACGAACGACAAATGTAACCTACTCTACATGCAACACAGAGCCTTCTACCGTAAACGTTTTTTAAACTTAATAACTCTAAAACGAAGGATTTGCCGACATACGTTTATATGAACCTTTGTCCTTTTTTGTTTGAGGAATCCGTCCCTATATTTTGTAAAAGTATTTTTGATACACCCTGTATACATATATATATATTGTTTTTGTTTTCTGGCTATGTTTTTGCTAATTTATGGGGAACGCTTATATTTGTTTTCTAAGTTTAATTTGTCCTGCCATAAAAGCACAGTTGTGAGCGCTCGCTACACTATTGGCCAATTTTCCAATGGTCGTCTTACAGTAAGCGTTCAATATAATGTCTTTCATCGTTTCAGCGCGACCGACTGCTATATTAAGCGTACATCTCGTTTTTATCAAAAATTCAAAGACAATAAATCTTAACCCCTTCAGGTTTGACGCATATATTTCTGAAAAAAATTATTATGTATTATTTTTCTGTTTCACTAAAAAATATTTAATCATTAATACCGTTGTTTACAGACACTTCCAGCAAGCAGGTGATTTTTATACAAACGTTTTTTTTATAACTTAAAAAAAAGAAACTATTATACGCCAATACTTTGATCACGGTGTCATTTTACATTATAGCTTCAGCTAATCATAAGATTTCAAGGTGGCCTGTAGCAATAGGACTTGATTTTATATGATTAAAATAAACGTATTTGTAACAGGGCACAAATTTAAATGCATGACATTACAGGATGGTGATATGGAGAGACCACTAATTGGACGATGGTTTTTGAAATTGTCAGGAGAGGAGGTTGAATGGTTGAGAAGAAAATTAAAAACGAAACCTGTTAAAAATTTGTTTAAAAACAATAAAATGAAATTAAGAACAATTCCAAGGAGGATCAAACCCAGATTTAACCAGACAAGATTCAGTAACATGGAGCAAAAGCAATTACACCAACCCGATCCACTTACCGCCGATAAGAAAAAGATGATTGATGTGTTATTCGAATTGCTTGTGTTCAGGAGAACTTAGAATTCGGACGTTTTGTTTAAATAATTTATCTGTAGAGAATTGTGTGGCCACAGACGATAATGATCTAAATTATTCTGGACAAAAGAAAAAAAACATCTGATTTATATAGAATTTGCTTATGTTGACCACCCAGGAAACAAATCTTTGCGAAAAGAAATTTAAAAAGACTTTGAATATAAAAGGGAAATACTATATTACTATAGTAAGATCGATTAATACTAAGATGTATCATTTTCTGTGGCAATCATCTGCAATTTTTATAGTTATCATTGCTGTTAAGACAAGCCAACTGGTCAATTTACGGGAATATGGAGATAATGAAATTGGGCATTGTGAATTGTTATTTTCTGTCGCCTATCAAGGGAGACGAAACCAGTAATGATTGTTATTGGAAAAGATATCTATATATAAAGCCAGCACGCATTTCCCTTGGTCGTCATTTTTCCCGAGCTTGGCGCATACATCAGACACAAAGTGCACAACTGCATAGAGGTCAGCTCGGAAGGGCCCGGAATTGTTTCTAAGACAGTCATTGCTAAAGAGCATATCCGCAAATTCCAGGACGGTGCGAAAACACATACATACCAAAGAATAGAGTGAGAATACATTGACTGGACACCACTTTACTGTTGCGATCAGAATCTCCAAATTACCACTCCTGCAGTAAAGCATTTTCATTTGCAGTAGCCAATAAAGATATTTTTATATTTTTATTCAACCAGTTTTTCTTTATATTCAATAAACCAGTTGTCACAGTTATCAGCAGTGTTATGTATTTCATTAAAGGAGCTCTTATTCCAACCTGAATTCCGACGTGAATTGTGCTTTCTTGAACAGGAATTATGAAATCTTTTCTATGGTACAGAACGTATATAAGGGGTTCACACTAGACTTCGCCGTCAAAACCAATATTGTAAAATTTTAGTAAACCTGAATCAACCCTACCGAGACGACACACAGGACCCAGGAGGAAAAAGAAAGCCGTAAGGTCGATATTACTCAACAAAATTAGTGGGGATAGCGACTGAGAGGAAAAGAAATGAGACAGAGCTCAGAGACGGTGAAATGTGGTGTGTGAGTTCAGAAGTAATGGGTGTTTTGATAGACGTGTCAATGATAAAAGCCAAATGGGGAATCCTTTTATCGGTATTACCAAATAAGTGATCCTTTTATTGCTATCTTGCTGGATTATAGTGATAAATTTTAATTTAGTATGGGTTCGAATCCAGCTCGCTCTGTTTCCGGTTTAGTACATAACATATAACGTAATATTACATTAATCTTTAGACCCGAACGATACATCATCGGCTACATCAACGACAGTGAATTTCGTTTTTTTATCACGCTTTATTATATGAGGGACAGTAGTTGGATCATCGTTTCTAGGAGGAAGTGGGATGAAGTCAGAGATGAACAGGATAACGCATGTCAATGCCTTGGCTAGAATTTCAATGTTTGACCCATTAAGAAATCTTGGTAAGGGAGGCATGCTACCCTTCTACATCTCGCAGCCGTCTGTGTATCTACGCGCCTTTTGGGCATTATATCAAGAACGGCAATCTATCACCGTCAGAATTCTATGTCTACAGAGTCCAAACAATCCCTGCTAAGCTCGAGTCATCCGAGTTCTGACCAATAGTTTGTCATTCTGAGCCAACCTATGACCCCATCAGAGGATAAAAACTTCTAATAGATATACTATGTTTTTCTTATAGATACGTAGCGATACAAAAACAAAACCTAATAACAAAATAGAACAATTACAATCATATATGCTAAGACGATTTATTTGGTGTATAGGCGATACGTTATTGCCGTAGATCTTAGCAACTTTAGCGTATTTTCTCTAAAATAGTTAACTTTCACATTCATATAAAAGAAGCACTTTTTGGTCTATCTGAATAAAAAAATGAACTGTTTGTTTCTGGGGTTGACTGCTTGTAACTTAAAACGGGAGGGCGTAAAGGCACAGTGCTTTTTCTGTTTCTGGTGTCTAGCTTTTCAAGCCTGACAAGGTCAGTAGACGGATTTGGCGGGGAATTCATAGTGAGTCAACATCCAGTTACATGTGTGTGTGTGTGTGTGTGTGTGTGTGTGTGTGTGTGTGTGTGTGTGTGTGTGTGTGTGTGTGTGTGTGCGTGCGTGCGTGCGTTTTTCAGAAACAAAATGGAATTACCCAAAAATTCATAAGAATTCGCTGACGCCTTTTTGTTAATTCCAGCTGAAATGTATGTTTTACTATGACAAGAGGGAAGGTGAAAAAAAAAGCCGAATCAATAAAAAAAATTACCAAGAATTTCAAAAATGAAAAAGTTTCTAAAATAATTTAATTCATTTGTGAATAAGTCCTAAAGGTTTCATTAAAATCTGACAATCATCTTATATTTGCAAGAATTTCCGAATCAATGTTTTTTCACCGCAAAACGACACTCAGACGCAAGAAAACAAAATTTTTAACCAAAATAATATATATGCGTGTGTGTGTGTGTGTGTGTGTGAATAAATAGTAAAGATTCTACTCAGCACCTGAACATTGCGTTGTGCATGAAACTCTGAATCGTGCTACCCGTAAGAAATAATATGTATATTTATTAATATATACTTAATAGCTCTGTTAAATTGAATCAAGCACTATTTTATTAACACCAGCTCGCAATGTGTGATATATATATATATATATATATATATATATATATATATATATATATATATATATATATATATGTGTGTGTGTGTGTTAAAACATACTTTAAAGGTATGTTATCATGTATTTAAAGATATTTATGAATAAACGTGCTCGATATCAGGGATAAAGTTTGGGTAAATATAAAACTGGACACTTAGGTCAACACCGCAAATAAATGGCCTGAAGATTCATACATGAAACAGACTTTCGCCACTAGGTGTTGACCTGAATGTTCACTTTTTTATCTATGTACTTACCTGCATTTCCTTTATTGTTCTTTTCATATTCTTCAGAAGCAGCACGAGCCAATGATTTCAGATCTTTAAGCGTTCGATTTCTGAGAAGCTCATCTGTAATCAATAAACTTAAAAATATCATCAGCCAAAGTTAGATATTAATCCATGAAATTTATTGTTATATTAAGAAGATAAATTAATTGATATATTAAAAATTAATATGGCGCATGGACACACGAACGCACACGTGAAGAAATATACACATATATACGCACATGCATAGATACACACATGCATATTTATAGATATATGCAGGCACGTACGCATGCACACACACATATACACGCACACGCATAGATAAAATTTTTAGTAAGATATTTTTAAAATGTCAAAAAAGTGATGTTGACCATCCTTTAAAAAAAGGCTTATTGATATATGAAGAGAATCCGTTTCCTTTCTCGGTCATCTCTACAGACTGAATTTAATCCCATAAACAGTGAGCCATTGTGGAGATTGCCAAGTGGCCAACAACTAAAACAACTAAAATAGTGATGCTCATCTAAATCATAATAATAATACGATTCATATTTTTCCGATTTAAATTTACTTTCAACATCTTTAGCCTTCATTCAAAAAGGACTGTTTTTTCATTCATACCGCTATATTTTAACTACCGTCACTCCTCGAAGTGAATTTACACATTTACATTGTTAGTTAGAATTTACAACAAAATAATAAACACTATTTATTTATTAGATTGTTTATTTACACTATTTATTTATTATATTATTTTTATTGGAATGGTTAGCAAAATATCGGCTAAGAGCCGATCGATTCGAACTTTATAAAATGGTATATAATAAGGATTTCGTTCACATATTTTAATTAACTTAGTAAATGTTTATAAATTTATGAATAAACAATTGTTTTCTTATTTATTTCTTCATAAATTGATAAATGATAAATATTACATTGCGTTAGTGTTTTAGAATGTTGTAAATATGAAATTATTCTTGTAAATAAGCATTCAATACCACCAAAACAAACTAGTAACGTTCCACCATCACAGGGCACACCCTAACACCATCACAGGGCACAACCTAATGTACTCTCAAGGAGGATACTTGTTTCGAACCTCTAGTGGGACTCAAATTCACCCCAGATCAGAAATGGAACTCGTATATACGATCCCCCGCTAAAGATGCTGGTAAAGTGGTCGGTTTCTTGTACCACCCCAGACTCAATCTCTTGTACCACCCAGACTCAGTTTCTTGTACCACCCCAAACCCAGATTCTTGTACCACACCAAACTCAGTTTTTTGTACCAGCTGAATCCTCTTGCTATGCTTTATCTTTAAGAATCAGATCAGACCAAAAATAGAGTATTGCTGCCGTACCTGGGCTGAAGCTGACAGTCCACATTTTCCACCCTTGATAGAGTTCAAAATCGCCTATGCGGCCATATGAGGGATTAATTGTCTTCCACCCTTTTTTCCACAGATGAAACATTATAATCATCACACTATTTTCATGGCAAATGTTCGGACCAGTTCAGACATTCACAGTTAAGATTCGCCATGTCACATACACTGGGATGAACGATCCCCATTGCCTTCGTATTCCATGAATAAGGAGGAAATTCCATTCAGACTGTTTCTTCACAAGAGCCACTACTCTGTAGAACAGACTCCCAAGTGGATGCTTCCCCAATCGCTACAATCTTAGCCTTTTCAATTCCAGGGTCAACCGTTATCTTTACTAAATAACCTAATAATATGCCCTTCTTACCTCCTCTTACATTCATACAACAACCTCATTCAATCCTTTACTTGAGTGGCTCGTGGGCCTTGTAGAGGGTGATAAATGAGTGAAAAATCTCATTTGTTCGACGGACAAGCTTCTTCAGGAAAGAAAAGGGAATCAAAACACGAAAGTAAATAATTAAAAAAAAGTGGCGGTTGGATTATCAGCAAAACGAAGACAGTCTTCAACCGGAAGACGTGTCTTAGCTATTCAGTAGGAAGATTCTTTTTTTCTTTTTTTTTTTTAATCGTTTCACCTCAAGCAAGGCGATAATGCCACTAGAACACAGTGAGGAAGGAGAGAATGAGAAGACTTTAGTTGGAGATGATTGAAAAGACAAAAAGGAAAAAGGCCCAAGAAGACGAAAGATGGCGACTGATGTTGCATTTAAATTATCAAGTTAAATGCAAAGGGCAGATAACTACTTTATAAAATATCTGTAAAAAATGGCAATAGAGAATTCTTCGAGAGGCGAATGGAAATTTCAGCTTACTCATAGCCTGTCCGTTGCAGTAACTTGTGTTACAAAGGCAGTGGATGTCTCCCTGGTGAGAATAGCAGCCATTTTCAGGAAGAGGTTGCGGCAGCGGAATTTGGGCAGAACAAGATCGAATGACAACTGCAAATGAAATATGGAGATAAATAATATCGAATGTTAGCTATTTTATGATTTATACGGAGTTGCATCCTCATTTTATTTGCTGCTTTGTTTTTAACCATAATGTTTCGGTCATTGCGTGCACAGGTCGCCTTCAATGTCCGAAAGCTTGAGAAATAAAACAGAGATGAGTATGCAAACCCATAAGGATCTTTGTATAACAATATTTGCATCGTGATTGAAAAATTCAGATCGAATAAAAATAAATTTAGATAGAATAAAAGAATAAATTCAGACAGAATAACAGAATAAAGTCAAAATAAATGAATATGTCTACACTATAAAAAATGAACCTTAAGGTTGCGAGAAAATCAGAGTAGTGATTTGAACACAGTCTCTTTTGTGCGGCGGCATTGGTTAGGGTTACTGTTCTGTCGATTTGTCAGACATTGAGCACTTTTGATTAGTGCGTAGGTTGGTACCTCTATTTTAGTCTGTTTTTTCTGTTTATGTTTCCTTTTTATTTTTATCAGTTTTTTTATTGGTTCTTAGTTTCTCTTTTGTCGTTTCATTTAGCATGCTTTGTATTGGTTGAGATGCATTTGAAAACATTCCCAATACTTTGGTTTATTTTATTTTTTATATATATACAGGGTGTATCAAAAATACTTTGGGGTAGGTTCCTCACACCAAAACAAAGACAGAAGTCCACATAAAATTATGTCCGCAAATCCTTCGTTTTTGAGTTAAGTTTAAAAAAAAAGGTTTACGGTAAATCGTACTGTATTTCATATACACTAAGTTACATTTGTCATTCGTGTACATTTGTGGCTAGTCTGTCTTTAAAGTTTAACGTGTGTAGTAGTGAGTTAACTGAAAAGTGTTCCGTTTTACAATGGCAGGATATTCATATCGTGAGCAGGCAGATGATTTTTACATAGGTCCGCGCGAATGGTAATGGACGCGAGATTGCACGGTTGCATCAGATTACATTTTCAGGCCGAAGGCAGCGAAGTCATCCAACCTTTGTTACTGTTTGTCGTCGCGTTGCTGAGCAGGATCCGTAGCATCACAAATCATGGATCTAGGAAGAGCGAGATCCGCTCATATACCTGATCACGAAGAATACATTCTACAGGCTGTGGAAGATTTGTGGACACATGTTTATATGATCTTTTGACTTTATTTCGGTGTGAGGAACCCGCCCCCAAAGTTTGTAAAATCATTTTTGATACACCCGACATTATATAGTAGACTTTTGTCATTACTAATGAATTGTATTTACACAAATAAATTCAACAATATTCGAATTTCTTCATTATAGCATCGTAAGTTAGAACATTTACTTACCACCAGCGTTTCGCAAACCGGTTCTCATAAGGCATTTCTCACTGCAAGACTCCGAATAAGTGGCGTCAGGCTTCACTGTACCATCCACGGGACAGTTTGGGTTTTCTTTTCCTGCTATCGGTTTCCCGTTGGTGTCAAGGAAAGTGCTTGTACACTGGTAGCACTGGATTTCGGCACCAACTAGCAGGATACCTAAAAAGAAAGCATATTTGAAAATAGATCTTATTATTCAAGCTCTTACTGGATTCATCTAGTGCTAGTACATTGGAAACATTGAATTTCGGTCCTTATTAACAAATTAGCAGGGCTACCTGGCGTTAACCGCGTATTAATTAACCCAGTAACGTAGAAATTCATCATGAATAATAATAATAATATCTAGTAGTAACCGTGAAATTTCACGGCTTTCCTGTTTTAATTTTGTTTTCATTCTTTCTTTTTCTCTCTTTTTTTTTTTTTTTTTTTTTTTGCCTCTGAGGAGTCAGAACTAAACAAGGGTTTCAACTTCACCACAACCATCAAACGGATACCATACTTGGACATCACTGCCCAAATCCAGAAAATAATCTTGAATATCCCTCAGTCTCGAACGGATGAGCAAAGATGGAAAGTGAGATAGATATTGGAGAAAGCCAATCCGCCCAAATCAAACATTCGAAACTGAAGAGACTGGCAATCAGAACCCTACAGCGAAATGAAAACATCATCATATTACCAGCTGACAAAGGCAATGCGACTGTAGTGATGGACAAGTCGGAATATACAGTAAAACTGGAAGACCTCATTAGAAATGGTAGCTACAGTATAGAAAGATCCAACAATGAAAACAGAACGAAAACTATCGCAGATCCTAATCGAGAATAAGGACCACTTCCCACCTATGGGCTCGCAATTGTCACTAGCAATGGCAAACATAGACACGGAATACTTCGAAGAAATGACATTAAAATCCACATCACTAAAACCAACCCTATAGCTGAGATGTTTAGATGACATCTTCATACTCTGGTAACACGAGGATGAGGTCCATCTACTACTAGACCATGGGAATACAATAAGATTATCGATACAGTTCTCAATGGAGAGGGAAAAAAACAAACTCGCATTTCTGGATGTACAAATATCCCGAACAGAGCATGTGTTCAAGACATTCGTATATCGCAAGCCAACATTCACCGGACAATAACTCAATTTCAACCCCCACCACCCATACAGTGTAAAGAAAGGGATCATCCGCTGCACAAAAAAAATCATAAGTGGCGACCCAGAGACATATGATCAAGAAATGGTCAGCATAAGCAGTACCCTACAACGTAACCACCCTGGGTATATGGCAACAGCTTCGACAAACTGGGATAGAAAGACACAAGAGGATAACAACACTCAGGAAACGACTTCAGTCTGCCTATCCTATGTGAAGGGATTATCGGAGAAAGATCTGTGGTCCATATAACATGGAACGACCTTCAAAAGTGGTTCGACACTTCGCAGACACCTCTTCCGAGTAAGACCCCTATAGAGGAGATGATTAAGGACTTTGTGAACGCCATCTCAAACAGCTGTGGTAAGACATACAAAGAAGAAAAATGCTGTAATACGAGGGGAAATAGAAAAATCAGGCGTAAGTGACCACATATGGAGAGAAAAGGGAGATCACCGCCCTCTTTGGGGTAAGGTCCAAATAATAGACAGAGAACATCACTGGAAAATACGTAAACTTAAAGAATCAGTACATATGCAAAAATCTAAGCCGGCCAAATGAATACAATACGGAGTGCTTGAGAAACGGAATAATAACAACAAAAATTGCAATATGAGCTTTGGTAAAAATATTTACTGAGACATTACGTTTATAAGTCCCAAAACTTCATACACTGATGTTCTCCAAGACACATAGCCCAGTGGATAAAATCGTTGGTTGGATCCAGTGACTTAACCCCAAGAGTAGTGCTGTGGCTACTGCAGTGGTGAACAAAAACTTGGAATGCGTGTTAAAGGGAGATAACTGAGACATCCAGAGGAGGCATGGAACGTGGAGCTAGAACAATCTATACTGGTGGACGAAATAAAGGGTTCAGTTCGAAATTCCAATCACCTGAAAAAGGCCGGAGCGTATAACGGCCGAAATGTCGTGAATATGGCAATAAAGATGATGTTTACAGTCCGAACAATGTAAATAATTTCTATACTTTTTTCAGTTCTAAAATTTGGTATTTAAAACAAAGTCTACTAGGTTATCTACCTTTAGTTGTTTAGTTTTTTTAATTTGTTATGTGGTTCTACGTAGCGCATTATGTATTTATTTTCGTGCTTAGATTTGGAAATGAGTTGATATAGTTTTGGATAGGTGATTATTACTGTTTTTGTCCTCTAGAGACATTGGTTTGAGATTTTGCTGTAAGGTGATATTGTTATTCTTATTTTCCATATTATTTTAGGTGTGTTTTATCTTGTGTCTTTGAGGATCCATGTATTTTGAGAAAGTTCTGTTAAATGCATATTGCTATTAAATGATGTTTTGTGTGAATAGCTTCTCTGTTTCCAAGGACTTTCTGTCATTCTTATATATGTTTTTTCTGGGTTTCCTTTAGATCCTACAATAGCTTGGTATAGGATGTTGGTTTGTAGTGGTAATTCGGACTCTATTCTGCAGTTACAGTTGTTGGTGTCTGTGGAAATTTTTCAATTGTTTTTCATAATATGTATAATGTTTTCAATGAAGTTATAGCTAAATTCTAGAATATTTCAGGCGAATATTTTATGCAGTTTGTTTGGCTCGGAGAAACGTTTTCCGTTGAGTTTGATATTAAATACTTTCATGGTAACTGTTCTGATGAACTTTCCTCTATGGTATATAAACTTTATGAAATTAAGCACAGTATTACATTAGCGTCAAGGTCTAATCATAGAGTGTCTTCTCTCGCACTTCTCGCTTGTGGAACTCTCTTCCAGCTTGTTGCTTCCCAGTCAACTTTGATCTTCAAAATTATTTAGGTATGTCCAACTTTTCACCCAAAAAAAGCATAGCATGAAGAAAAAAGGCCACAATCTTAATAAAACAAAGTTTTATCACGAAAAAGTTTATTTTATTAATAAGAGGAACGACCAAAGTATTTTTTAATTATTTTTAAAATTTTTTATTCCTTTCCAGCACTTCTGAAATTCAGGTTGAAAAACTTGTTTTTTTTTAGGTCAGCGGTCGCGTAATATTTAGCATTATTTTTTTTTTTCAGTTGAAAAACACATTGATTTGGAAATTTTTGCAAAAATCAAATAATTGCTGGATTTTAATGAAACCTTCAGGACTTATTCACAAATGAATTAAATTATTTTAGAAATGTTTGGATAAAAATATTTTTTACATCTGTTACCACCTCCCCCACACACTTAATTTCATGAAAACTTGAAAACTTTTAGCTGTGACTCTACTTATTTTAATTAAGCGCACAGAACTTTGAAGAATATAAATCATCGATTTAGTTGGTAAAAAAAAAAATGTTTCATATTATCCAAACTTTTAGCTCAAATGTAAAAATACAAAACCCAATAAAATTAAGACAATATTTAAATTAAAAAAAAAAAAGCTTTTAATGGCTTTTCTGAATAATATATATTAAGGTCATTTTTATCTGAAGCCAAAATATTTTTTTGATGAAAAAATGAATTTTTACATTAATTTTTTTCATTTTTTCAATTCTAAATACAATATATTATAAAAAGTGGTTATATATTTTAAAATTATGTTTCTTACTGTGACTCAATGGAAATGCTCTTATTATTTTATCTACTTTTTACAGATCATAAATTTGAAAGCTTATTAAAATCTACAAAGCGAGGATATTTTTAAAATATTTTTTTTATATTCCAAAGCTCTATTAAAAATCGTCTCCGAAAAAGATATGGATGCAAAACTTTGAAATAATACTCTTTTTTGTCTCATAAAATTTGAACTATAAATGTATTTTTTCGTAGTTTAAATGTTATTTTTATTCCAGAATTCTCCCTCGAATGTAAGGTTAAAAAAAAAATTTTTTTAATGTATTTTTTCAAATCTACTAACCAGATTCACCTAAAATTAGTACAAATTATGTCACTTCTGTCCTACCATCTGATAAATTCCCCTGACGTAAGTTGTCAATTGATTGACGTACATCAATTAACACCTCGCAATCAGACCCAAAACCAAGCACTGCGGTTGGAAATGTCTCTCTTAAAAAAATTCTGATAAAAAAATAAGTAATGTTTCTTTCAAATTACATTAAGTATACTTTAAATTTTTTAATTTTCCTAAAATAACTATAGAAAAAGATGTAACTGAATTTTACATGTTTTTTAAACTGATAATTTTGATTTTGTTAACAAAATCAGAAAAAATGGCCAATACGATCGATTTTACGTAAATGTTATTGACAAAAAAAAAACAAGATTTTATTGACTCAAAAAAAAACAAGATTTTTAAATAAATTTTTTAACATTAAAGGAAGGATTAAAAAATCTGAAAAAATATTCAGAAAATACTTTGGTCTTTCATCTTAATAGTAACATAAACATGAAGACGTTAAAAAATTGTTTTATCAAGTTTGGGGCCTTTTTTCTTCATGCTATGCTGTTTTTTGGCGAAGTGTTGGCTATAACTAATTTAACTGCAATGTCAATCGTTTTCTAATCTTCTTAATTGTTGTTCTTTTATTGTTTTCTCTCCTTAATAGAGTATTTTTTCATATCCTTTAACACTCAGTAATCCCTTTCGTCTTAGTGGCTTTATTGCCTTGCTTGGGGTGAAATGATTAAAAAAGCACCACATCTCATCCGACAATAAAAATGCAAAGAATAAAAGAAACATCATACGAATCATCTCACCGTATAATAAAAATACATTAGAAAAAAAGAATCATCATACGGTTCAACTCATCCCATAATAAAAACGATTCAGAAAAAGAGGCATCATATGGCTCGACAATAAAAATGTAAAAGCAAATAAATGTAGAATGATTGCAGATTTTTAAGTAGAGAGATTTTCCTGTCTGGGAGATATTTTCCCTTACTCATTTCTACTAGTCATCATTTTGTCGTCTCCAGTAAACTGAGTAAAATCGATCCTTTTCAATATTATTAAAGAAATTTTGAACTTGTGTCTGACATTGTTTTTGTGTTTATTTCATGATTCACCTTCGTTGTATGCACTATCATCTGGCAGAAAGAAAAGCAAACACGCCAAAATAAAATAGAAAAAGATGTATTGCTTAATTCTACCCATTACGCAGGCATAATTGCACTGGTCGCAGTGTTTTTTATATAATTATTTATTTAAGGCCAAAGGATTGAGTTTCTTTCTCTTCTTTCAAAAAGCCGCATAAAATTCAGTATGAGAAAGGTGCGGCTGCTGACTACATTAAACAAACAAAATTGTCCAAAACCCCTGTCAGTGTATAAGCGTTCTCTTCCTAAACTGAACCAATAATTCCACACCCTTTCAAAGAATAAATGGGCCGACTTGAAAAATCCGGATTTCCTTCTAACGTTACAAAAGATATACTCTATATAATCTTCTCATGCTCATTTTCAATATAACCATTTGCCAGTAAAATTCAATGGCATTATGTGCCATGCGTGATACACGCTTAGGCGATCATGTATCTTTTGATACATGACTGATGAGGCAGATTTTTTCCTACTGTAGGTTGCCATTTCTTTCTGAGGTATACTAGTTGCCATCCAAGGCTATAGAACACGGTCTGTCCTATTATTTACCCATAGATGGGGATGGGGGAGAAGAGGATTCATACCTTTCCCAAGGATATTAGCACGTAATGTATATAATGGATAATGGCTCTCCGATTCCTCAATCCGAACCGCTATTCATTAGTCCAACGTGCCTCCTGACATAATTCAATAAATATGTATATTAATCTGTTTTCTAAAAAGTGTGACCAAGAATGAATATATATGTATATATATATATATATATATATATATATATATATATATATATATATATATATATATATATATATATTATAAATTCATGAATCATTCATACAAAAAACAAATATAGAGGTTAATGATTTAAATGGTGAGCTCAGAATTCACACACTTTATCCAGCGTCGTTTCCATTGATGGAAGCATTCCTGGAATTGCTTTTTTAGGATAGCGAGCAGCTGCCCCATTGCATTTTCTTGGATTTCCTCGACTTTTTCAAATCATGTTCCTTTCGAGTGGGATTTGAATTTTGAAGAGGAAAAAATAGCAAAAAGCGACATCTGGGGAATATGGTGGTTGTTGAACCTGGGGGAATATTGTCCTTGGGCCAAATCTGCTGTATAAGCCATGGTTACTGATGGAACCACTGTGGTGTGGTGAGACAAACATTTTCATTTCAAGTACTGCTATAAACAATGGAAGATCACACCTTAAAACTACATTTCTTTATATATATGTATATATATATATATATATATATATATAAAGAACTAATGGATTTTATTTTTGAGTCTGGCATATTTTTTATACCAAACGTTATTTTTAGCCTATTTTTATTCAGTTTTTATATCGTCTACTGGTCTACGTCGCACTCTATAAAATTTAATAACGAGAATGTGCCGATAATCTGAACGAGATAATGTGCCTTAAGGAAAATATAACATTATGAATCTCTTCATAGCCGAGCAGTCCAAGCATACCAGAAGAGACTGTGGTTTTTCCTGCAAAGGGGGACGCAGGCTCGGATCCTGACGAGAGGCACATTTTCTTTATTACGTTTTTTCTAGTGCGCAGGTCGGTAGATGAAAAAGCACTATTTAAAGCAAAAACGGAGCTTCTACTCAAATACTGGTATCCACTAAAAATAACGATCGATGAGCGGAAAAACTGCGCGCGCGTGTATGTGTGTGTGCGAAGAAAATGGATAAAGTGAGAGGAGATATAGACATGCGATGTAGTAGAATGGTTCCTCTGCTCTGTCTTAGCATTAGATTTCTTGTTAAAAGATCTGTGACGTGAGAATATAGTTGAAAGAAAAAGATAGCAACTGTGTGAAGCAATTCATTGCACAACTTTCCCGCAACTACTGCCCAAATAGTAACACCTTTTTAAAAATATTACACTCATTTTCAACTTTGACTGGGACTTGTGCGCGCGCAATGGTGAAAGAGAAAATAACTTACCTGAACAAATAAATAACCAAAATGCAATAAATAAACGAACAAATCCCTTTTTTTTGCAGTAGCTCATGACTGGAATGCGATTGTTTCTTTCCCAAACAAATATAAAATTTCTTACATTCGACAATAAATAATCCAAACGGTGAGCGCTTCACATCTCTATTTTTTCTATTCCTTAATTTTAAATAACGCGATATTTTCTTGAAAACTCATTGTCCATAAAATGAGAGATTTTAATTACGCAATTTTTTTTATGGAAACTGATTTCGAGCTTCGAATTGTACTTCTTTCGTGAAGGCCAAAAGAGAAAATAGCTACTGACATGTCAGACAAAATGGCGGATTAAACAAACAGTGAAAAAGAGGGTGAAAATTCAGTTTGAAGTTGTGCGTTGGCAAAATCCCAATAAAATGCTTTGCTTTTACTTAATCTAAACCGGTTCATCTCGAAGCTGACTTATTCAGAAACGAAATAAGAAACGATAGTCAATGGACAATACGAATTACGTCTTAAATGTTTTTTTCTCTATTTTTTTTTGCTGTTGTTTGTGTTGGCGTTTTGCATTTTGTTTTTTTTTCTGTGAGAAAGTCATATTATTGACACAAACGCCACCCTGTTACTGAGATTTTATTTGAAAATCTATTCGTTAATTTCCTTAAGTAAATACCCCTCTCTTCCTGTACAAAAAGAACACACCTGAATATGGAAGACATTATGTACATTGACCCACGTACAT